TTTAGTTACGTTACTTATACCGTATATTACTTGTCTTAAAGTAATAAAGTAACAGTAGTAGTAGTAATAATAATAATATATATATAGTGTGTTTAGTGTGTGTGTGTGTGTGTGTGTGTGTGTGTGTGTGTGTGTGTGTGTGTGTGTGTGTGTGTGTGTGTGTGTGTGTGTGTGTGTGTGTGTGTGTGTGTGTGTGTGTGTAAGAAAATGGCAAGTTATCAAAAAGTAGCTCACATTTAATAAACACAAGGTTTTACCCTGCATTCATTTCCCACTATGTATAATAATCTTGTTAACTCACTTTTAATTGTGTTTCAAGTTAACCCTTTGCATACATGGAGGGGTCAGAGCACGTAATCACGTTTTGTAGATGTACATTCATAATTTTTTTTAACTACTATTCTATGAATGTATGTCCATAAACTTAGAATTAAACTGTAATTTATTATTCAAATCTTAGTATTATACATTATTTAATTTCTTAATTTAAAATAAATATAAAAAATAATTACTTAATATCAATTTATTGTGTCACATGGTACATCGTCCTCTACTTTTGCTCAGATTGTATGTGGGCATCATAAAATGTAAAGTCTATAGTTTTTAACAAATTAGAAACTCAAATACTGACAAGCTAGAATATAAAATAAGAACCTCCTACCTATTCTATTTGCTGAAATATCATTATATTTAGCAAACCCACCACATTGGCTCCTCCCACCTTTTCCTCTTTTGAAAATACTTGTTTAACTACACCTACTTCACTTAACCTTAAGATGGTGGAAATTGTTTTCTGCACTCGAGAGTCTTTCTTGCTAACCCTCATCGTAAGCCTTATCCAAATTCACACGTCAATGTAGAAAATAAAAATTTTTGTAGGCTTTATAAATGCATTTTTTAATACCAAAAAATTATAAATGACTATACCAATACCAAAAAAAATTATTTTAATTTACCAGGCTTATTAACTATGTCGTATTTGGGTCTAAAATAATCTAATTTCTGTTCAGAAAATAGCATTGATCATAATACTTCAAACTATCCAACAATACAAGAGCTTTTCTCTCATAAATAACTTAGAATGACTAACAGAATTACATAGAGAAAATGTAGAGCTTTCGATTGATTATAAACTTGTAGGTATAAAAAAAGGTGTAGATAAACAAGACTTCTCCAATGATGAAGTGGTGGGTGGAGCCAATATGGTGAATTTGATAATTATTATATCTCAGCATATAGAAAAGGAAGGAGGTTCTTATTTCATACTCTAGCATGCCAATATTGTAAATTTGAGTTTATAATTTGTATGAAACTATTGACATTGTACTGTGGGCATCATAAATTTAATCTGACCAAACCCAGAAGATAACATACCAGTGTGACACAAAAATCAGTTTAGTTTTTTCTTTTATAATATTAAAATTTGAATTAAAATCTACAATTTGATATGAAGTTTACTGACATACATTCATAAAATAGTAGTTCAATAAAATTTTGAATGTAAGTCTATAAACATGATGACATGCTCTCCAACCCCCAATTACCCATAATGATAGGGCTAAGTACATGTTTATAACAAATCAAAAGCACTCATTTGGAACTACATAATCAGTTTTTCTAAAGTATTTATGCAGGTAAAGCCTTTATACCCATTGAAGAGTTCGAGTTATAGTATGACTGATCTCATGGTTACTTTGGTGATAAACATAGATTTTTGCGTGTCACATGGTATGTTAAATGCAGCACTGGTTCAAATTAAATGTTTGTGAAATCAAAATACTAAGTCTATAGTTTCATACAAATCAGGAACTCAAATTACCAATATTGAAAAGCTAAAATATAAAATAAGAATGTCTTATCTTTTCTATTAGCTAAGGTATTGCTCATGTAATAAATGAAACAGTGGCACCCCACCCACCTCTTTTCATTTTTGGAAATGCTCCCTTAAATACACTTAGAATTTCCCCCTAATGGCTTTTTCAGCCATTTTAACAGGCGTGGACACCATTTCTTTCTTTGGAATCAAAATTTCAAGGAGGTAGGGTGTGTCTTTGGTCTGCTCAAAATTTCATATTTTTTTAAACTAAAATACATCTTATTACTAAGCTTGATAAATTATAGTTGAATTCTATGGTATTGATGTAGTAATTTATGATTTTTTAGTTATTCAAATGTATACATAAAATCGAAAACGTTATTAAGGCTTAGCAACCTACATTAAGCAGCAACAGTCATAACAAGAAGAGGTAATTGTTTGCTTTACTTATTTATTTACTGTTCTATGTTTAAGAAAAATAAC